CTATGCTAATGGTATATCGTCATGAATTTTAATTCTGTACATTATTGATTTACTCTCGATAATCAGGATATGAAGTATATTAGATTAAATTGATGATCAGTGAGCTTAAGTCCCTCTGATATAGTCATTGTTGTTAGCGTTTCTTTATTTGAATAAACTGAAGAATATATGATAACTTAATTATAAGAGAAGGTATGTGAGTCTATCTTTATTAGAATGCTTTTGGCTGACACAGTTTACCACTTCCAGTAAATCATCAATATTACACATATGATTATACAATGAGACGATTCCAACTGATTTACATTTGTAAATTAAAAATTAAGAATCAAAGAAAAATGAATAGTGCTATGAGTTAGTACGAAAATTTGATTTGTTCGTTGATGTGTGTGCGATGCAGTAAACTATATATTCGGTTTAATTGCATGAAACACAAAACAAAAGAAGAATGAGTATTGACCATTTCAATAAACTGGTATTTGAGAGATCAGTATATTGAAAACAACAAAAAGGATTAGTGTAAAGGAAAGCACTAATCTAGCCAGTACTCTTCATTAAATAAACACTTCATAAGCAACGAAAACTCAAAAAGTTATTTGAGAATAGAAGAAAGGTCAATGATTTTGAATAACAGTAACATATATGATTAAGTTAACAACTTATTGTGATACACATTGGGAGCTAGGATTTACATAGAAGGTAACAAAATCACTGGAAGTTATAAAACGAAGATAAACCATTCATTCATAGAGTTAATGATTATCAAAGTGAATGGTATCAGAAGATCATATTCTAATGTTCTCCTGCTCAAACCTCTGGGACACTATTTTCAAAAACGTGATTTTATTCCCATAAATTTTTCAAATATACGTTTATAGTAACTAAATACATCTGTTAACAGCAGTGCTTATCCCCCCACCGTTTCATGCCACAAATCTGTATAATTTGCACTAACAATTCTTTGATGTCATCAAAAATATGATACGGAATAAAACGATTATTATTATTATCACTTTGTAGACGACTTCCTAGTTGATGATATCAACGAGATAATCTCTATCCGTGATGGTTGTGGTGATAATGCTCAAAATCAATAAATACATATTTATTCATTGCATTCGCCGAGATTTTCACCTTGAATATTATTTCTTCCTTTTTATGCCATGAATTAACGTGTTCCCTTTCAAACCATATTCTTTATCATTGATACTACAGTGAATATCCTGATTCTTTTGGTTTTTACCTTGTTACTTTCCGAGGAGCAGTTATGAGGTGTTCAACGTTCAGCTACTAAATAGAAAATCCTAGTGTCACTTCGTCTACTTTTAGTTTGGCAGAAGGATAGTACCACTAACTATCACACATAAAGTTTGTCTCAAAGTTGAATATACAAAATTATGAATAGTAAATGAGTTACATCATCAAATTTTATATTTACCGTGCTAGATATACATAAAGCATAACATTTTCAAGGATAATTGATGTTTAGAAAAAGAACGGATTTTAAAGAGCAAAAGCGAATCGTTTTACCGAACGAAAATATTACACAGTATAACTGTTTCCCCTCCCTACTTCGAAATAAATGAATTTTCAATGGGTTTTTCTTAAAATTTGTCCACAACAGTTGAAATATCTCAGCTTTATTACGGTTATCTAACTTCGTTGTTTATAATAACTTATGATCAAGTTGTTAGCTGATGCATGACATAACTAATAATCACAATATGATTGATATAATGATAATAACTAAAAATGAACACTGGTTAATGTATGACTATTATTATAGCTGGACAGTTTTAAAAACTAGGCAGTAACAGTGCCGCATCAACAAAGAGAAGACAGACCACATCACATCATAAAATAGAGAAAATGAGACAACAGAGAGTACTTTCGTCGTTGTATTCGTATCAATCTGCATGTATATGTATTGATTAATTGATTAAATTTTGCTTTAATCTATCTGTTGGACAAATATCCAGACAGGGTAGTAGAAATTAGAATCAATATGAAATAAACAACTAACAAACAAACAAACAACAATAAGAGATTTACATTCACACAATAGGTATGTTATTGTATACTCTATCAAGAAACTTTTATTGATCATGTATGCCTGACCTTTTCATCCCACCAACCAACCAATCATTAATACTAGTTAAGTGTCTTATTCTCCTAAGCCCTAGGATATGGTGGATATATATGATACCAAAGTATTCAATTATTTGGATTGATAGAGAAGATTGCAGCTTAAACGAATCCTTTTTGCGTTGTTCCCCGAGCTAGGCCAAACAACACAACACTACCGGTATCTTGACACTGAACTAGGACCATATTGCACATCTACCTATACTATATGTGGACAAGTCGTAAGGAATAAGAAACGAGCGGTCTGGCGCGATAATGGAACTATGAACCATAAAATCGGGTACGATTATTGCTGGATGTTATAGGTGAAAGCCATCTATCAGCACCACAAAACCTTTGTGGTGCATGACGTACCCAACATCTCCACCGTTTATGACGAGTAATCCAGAAAAGATCGGTTGGTTTAATTTCCAAGTCTAAAAATCATCACATACCTAGTACAATCATTTTACAATTACTGAGCCCATCATCTAGGAACAGTACTTAGTTTATAGAATACCCACAGTCTCGGTTTTTCCTACGTTTTTACAACAACACAGAAGAACAGGACGCAATTTTAACTAAAGAAAAGAATGTGATCCCACGCTGACGTAATTATACTGGTCTCTATGTTATACCGACATTGCAATACTGACTAGGAGTGGTGGCTTAGTGGTTAAGCCACTTGGTTATTAACCAGTAGAATGCACATTTAGGGTAACCGGGCGGATATGGAGGATCCAGTTAGGGGAGTTGGAAAACTCTGATTCCATATCGATGTTGCACACACAGGCTCCAGGATCTTGAAGGAACAAATGGAGTACGATGAGACTGCATCTACTAACGTTGCTCCACTGCCTTGTGGATTAAATTTCTGGGTCGAAGGCTCGAGGTGTGGCACCCTAAGAAAACCACCTGCTTCGGCTACGTCGCCCGGAGAGCATTCCAGCCCTCACACAAACCGAATGGTGAAGTGTGTCGCATATATATTTGCTGCCTCCTTGTACTAATGTTTATGTGTTTTAATAATGAAACTTTATTCCGCATACAAACAATGTCAGCAAAGTCGGGCACAAATCTTCACACTAATTTAGTTGATGATGTTTGCTAAAGTAAAGTATTATTATTATTACCTATTCATTACTATTGGATTCAATTTTTCACTTACTTCTCTTTGGTGAGAAAGGAATCACGAACAACGGAAAAAGTGTATTAAAAGCAAGCAAACAACAGGACACATATCATCTTTAAATGTTAATTGAGTATTACCAACTCTTACCGGGTACAAGTTTAGCGAATTGTACAACCTGTTGAGCGTGCATATGGAAATGATTCATCATATGACCCCATACTTGATTAATATTATCTTGATGTTCCGGTGGTATCGATGTCATACGGAAACGTGTTTTAAAGTACTTGAATTTGAATGTTTTTAGAGGAAAACAGAAATATAAACAAACAAAAAGGAAATGAACGGATAAAAAATGTATTCTAATCATAAACATCAACCGTTTATAATTTATTAAAAATTGAAAACAATTTCAATGATATTAACGATAGTACTATTACTCAATCAGTCAATCAGCTACAACGTAGAAACAGACACATATATGCATTGATACACGTCCCTACACTTCATTAGCACCAAATTCATAGAACTAGTCACTTCGGTGGTAATAATGTATAAAAGAAAGATTGTGTATAAGGATATAATATAGGAAGAAAGAGTTAGTTCGTAGAAAGAAAGGTATAAAGCAGTTTTAATCTCATAGTTTAAGGGAAGACAATGAGTGTATACATCTACACCATTGTGATCGATTCTGAGCCATGTCACCAAGAGTCTCCAACCATTGGTTACGATAGTCACGTGCACCCCAACCAAGTAGTCTGCATCTACCAACATGGCTTAGACTAGAAGTCAATGAGTTCAAGGATTGATGCTACGTTTTGGTTTGGCCACCCCTAACTTTCTTCCAACCATCTGCAACACTAGTCAGTATTGCGCGTCGTGGTAAACAGTGTTCAGGCATATGTAACACGTGGGACAACCATATCAGTTAATGAAGATTCACAACCTCATCAACTGATTTACCATCATCCTCTAATATCCTGCGTCTAACCTCACTATTACTTACTCTAGTATATACTCCTTAGGAATTTCAATCTAGCAAGAAAACATGTATCCAATATTGTATTTTTTGGTTTTCGATAGTTCTCCACTTAATTTCAGTTCATGATATAGATAAAAAGTAATATAAAGTGTAACGTTGAAGGCTCTAATGAGTCGTTTGGAGAGGTTTCAGTAGACCTAGGACAGTATTTTGCGAACTTCTTCGACACTATGGTATAGCTGAGAAGATCGTCAACATCACACGGAATTCATACAACGGACTACACTAAAAAGTCGTGCATGGAGGACAGCCGACAGACCCATTCTAAGTGAGGACCGTAGTCAAACAAGGTTGCCTACTCTCCCCCATCCTCTTTCTTCTGGTGGCTGACTGGATTATGAAGACCTTCACATTTGAAGGAAAGCACAGAGTTCTAGTGAGAAATTGTGACCGTTGGAGCTAATCGACATCTGGCGTGAGGTAGTTTCCTACGGGAAACAATGGGAGATGGTCACAAAACGTCATGGATCAATTAGGGTTGGACATTAACACCGATGAGTGCCAACTGAGTGGTCTGGAGGTTAAGCGTTCGCGCCCGAAACAGATGGTTCTGGGTTAGAATCCTGAGTGCGGAATCGTAGATGCGCACTGCCGAGGAAACCTATACTAGGACGAAAAAGCCATCTGCCGCTTCTTGGTTTCTAATGGTGGTCTAACTTGGATCGGTTCATGATTTTAATTAAGTTTAATATGATTTTTCTTTTTAAGGTGTGGTAAGTTGGAACGACATCCATTCGTGTCAAGTCCTACATTGATGATGACTGAGACAGTGAATGAAGTTACCATTTCACAGCGGAAAACGCGTTGGTCACCGTGATTTTAAATGATATCCTAGTATTCTTGTAATAGGAATAAGTTCAACGACGAAGCATATTACCATCTAGTTTAGAAATCAGGTCAAAAGTCTGAAAACTAGGCACAAAATACCCAATACGATTATTTTTCAGCTGTTATTGTGTGTATATGATGCAAACGTAAAGAAAGTTTATGTGAAACTAATAAATATCTGTCGATATGTACAAAGCTGCTTTGCTAATAATGAATCATAGATTCAATAATCTTAGGTCACTGTATCAGTTAGTTTCACTGTATGAATGTAACACAGTTATCACATACGATCAGCTATTATGTACTTGGTTGATGACACTAATATTCGGCCGCTCAAATCTGAAGTGAATAGAACAAATTTTATGGAAAGACTTAAGTAAGAATATTTAGTCTGAATAAATAAATAACGTTGAATAGTACGGGTAAAGGTTTGTGTATAAAAATACGTCAGGTTAGATCACTACTGTGTGTCTACGGTCAGTTCGTGATGTATATTATGGAACTCAACAATCTTCACAAATTCTTCATATGAATAATAATAATTAGCAATCAATAATTAATAATAATAATAATAATAGGTAATAATGACTAATTTCGAGAGGTGGTTCTTGGAGTTCAGTTATGTCAGGTGTAACTGACTTAACAATGACAATGGAAGATGGCTTCACAATATCGTAAATTGACTTAAGTTTAAAATGTAACCTATCGGATCCTGACTCAGGAGTCTAAAGGTTGAGCGTCTATCCCTGGTGGGGTCATGGACTTGCACTAATGAGGGGTTCATCAATACGACGAATTAACTGTCTAATGCTTCCCAGTTTTAAATGGTTGTATAATTAAGGCCAGTTTGTGATTTAAACCACAAAACTTTCCATCATTAGATGACCTAAAGGTATAGTCCTTACTGTAAAAATTAAAAAGTCTTGATACCTATTATGTCTATGAAATCAGGGGTGGTGAATCCCGATGGATTCCAAACAAAAATGAAACAGTTAACCAATGTTTTCTAGATTGGAATGGTTTCTCATTTGACACTAGTTCGTACTGAAGATATTTCATCTGTTTTAACTGGAAATAAAAGATGGTTGTAGGAACTGAACACGCAGATAGAACAGGGCCTGATGTTGTAATTCGACGGTCAGAAGTCGAAACGATTCAATCAGTAAAGAAGTACACTTCTGATTGGCAATTCAAAACGTACACACACAAGGTCATTATTCACAAAGTTATGAGATCTCAACTGTTTTGTAAATGTTATAAGTGACGCTACCATAAAGTGGTCGTTGAATTTATGAACCGAATGATTAAACGGTATATAGAGCATATTCTAAAATTATTGGTTTACTCTACACAAAGTTCAGTTACCATGAGTGGTATAACGGACAGATGTAAAGGATCATTGATTGATTTGTGACTTTCATTTAAATAGTGATTAGTTATTTATCCCATAGGTTGGGAAACTTTTAATATCCTAATATTATCTATCAAGCAGGTAGCGTTAGTGGTTCTTATCTCTAGAATTCATTCATTTTACATTTTGTGACTGGGTTCTTGGATGAATTATCACTTCAGGAAACAAAATTAACAAATAGAAACATGTTATGTTATGTAAGTCATTTACCGAATACAGAGATTTATGTAATTAGCGTTCAGCTACTTCATTTGCATAAGGCATGATGACCCTGTTCATCTGTTCAAATTGAGGTGAACTAAGAAGCACGTTTAGAATTGTAACTTACGGGTTGGAATTCGAATGCTGTAACTACTATATCATAGCCTGAATATGTGCAATAATTTACAATGTATGTAACTGCCATAGAATAGCATTCTTCACTTAAAAAACTTACTGCATTTGGTAATCGTAGAAATTCAGTAGCTGTACGCATGCCATCAGTGAATTGTGAAACAGCTTCAGAAGTTACATTGATTGATGGTAAAGTATCTTCTACGTCTTCCCAAAATGACGGATCATCGAAACTTATGAAATTGTGACGATTGGCAGTTGTATTATTTGCCACTGTTGTGTTTGATGATATATTTGTATTAACGGTTGTCAGTGTAGGAGTAGTAGTAGTACTATTACATTCAGTAGTATTGATAGTTGAGTTTGAAAAGCTGGAGGTAGATAATTTCACTTTATTAACACGTTCATTATCTGAATTCGGTATAGTGGATATACATGTTTGCACCTGAGACAGATTTGAAGAGATTAGTGAAAAAGGTGAAGAGGAACGTTGAGAAGAACACAAGGAAGTAGTAGTAGGAGTAGGAGAGGTAGATGACAGAGAACAATTGATACTGGATTGAGATGATAATGATTGTAATTGATGTTCCTGAGAATAAAAGGATAATAATTTTTTATTATTAAGCAAACGAGATGCACAAAATGTAGCCGATGATGATTCTGAAATAGGTGATTGATGCAGCGGAATAGATTTGACTGTTTTGTAACCTGAGTTTTGATCAATACTACCTTCATTACCGTTATTGGAACTACTACATATGGGGTGTGAATCATTTCTATCATCATTAAATGTGATAGATTCACCGGTACGATCCAAAGCATGTCGTTCTAAAGCGTCATATACACTAGATGATCCATTGGAATAATGACGAACCAATTGGGAAGAATCGTTAAGTGGTGATGATCGCTGAAAGGTAATAATAGAAAATACCAAATTCCATATTATACAAGACTGGATGTTATTCGATTGATATATTTCTTAAAGAAACAAAAGCAATTGTTCTACATGTAGCTTACTTTAAGGATTGATTGGTTAGAACAACATTGAATATAAGAGAGCATTCGATAGCTGTGTCGTTGTAGCGTGAGACTAATCAGCAGCGCGTATTCATAATATTATGAGAGAATGAGCTCAGGAACTTCAGTGGTTCGCATTTTGAGCTTCAGTGAATTCAGGATAACAATCTTCAGAAACCTTTCTTCCATGCTAATTATTGCATATAACAAGAACTTTTAAAACTAAATGTTATGACTGAGACGTCAATCAGAATCTCGGTTATAACTTCTCTATCCCGTGTATAATATTTTGTTCATAACCTAGAGCCGTAAACCTTGACCAATCATAAGCTTCTACTGCCAAGGTTAATTTTAAGTTGGGGTGGGATAATCTTAGCTCTGGTTATCCTATCGATATAAAAATCTTCGTTCGCCAGTCTTAATTGCAAATAAGAGAACACACACTAGGCAAGCTTCTAGCACTATATTCCAAGCATATATGCGCTTATATACAAGTATCTAGGAGAAAATCACAGCGTAAAGAAAAAAAAACAGAGCTTATATATAAACAAGCGAAAATTACCAGTGAACAAGATAAGTTATAAATAATTGATTAATAGTATAACAATGGTTAGCAAGTCCAACATAAACTTACAAAAAGGGGGAATATAAAACCAAAATAGTCCAATCATTTAATAATCAGATAGTAAAAATGCAAATAACAACAAAAATCTGTAAAATATTCACGAAGTTGCAAGTTTCATAAACACTTGCTCATTTATAACATTAAATGATCTAATTTCGGGTTCATTCATGTACTATTTCAAACTGAAATATGCATCGACAGATGTTGTATCGAAGAAATAATATGTAATCTCTTAATTTATCATGACTTTAACTATCCTTCCAGTTGAATAGGTGGGTATGAAAATCTGAATACTGATTTATTATTATTATTGTTAGTTTAAAATAAAACTTGGTCAAATTATTGTTTATTCAACGTTTTACCGCGAGACAGATAAAACCATATTGTTTGTTAAAATCGATAGATTGTGGCTAAATGTGGAATTTGTAAGCACACTTCGTCCTACTTGGTATTTGTCAGTAGTATTCTCGCTCACATAGGAACTCGAACCCATTTTTTTAAACTTCAAACACCGAATTATCCACTGAGTCCATGTAAACATTGACTAGTTAATTGGATACGGTGTTTATATCATTACTAGAGAGACTTTGAATGATCCCGCTGTTGATATTCCGGACTGAATTTCAATCAACTTTTGTTGGCATACATGTATTCTGTGTGGAATGGCTCGATATAACCAATTTATGTTTTAAAAAAAATAATAAATTGTGGCTAGAAGTTGAATAAAAAGTTAGCCATTCTACTTGAAAAAGCATTTGGTCGTATTGCATCGATTCTGTTGACTTAAAGTAATGAAGTAATGATATAAGTCACGTCAAAAGATCACAATCAATTGGTATTCAGGTTGGCATGGTAACTATTATGTCTCACTAACTACTACAAATAGTTCTCGTCAGAGACTGCAATCAACCTGAAGATCATTGAAATGCAGATTGGCAAAAACTGGAAATTATCCTGTCCATATAGGTCCAATCTGTTTATCAGTTGCCGATAAAAAGTGCCAATTTAACACAATATTCAGCTGTTAGCGTAAGCAAACACGAAAGTAAGTAAATGTTTGCGAAGACAATAGATCATTTACACAGAGTTATCTAGATGAACTGATTTGGTAAAATTACAAAAAGTCGAAGTTGTTCATTTTTATTTGATGTAGTGCACCACTGATAATCTCGTCCAAAACGAGAATGAAAACGAACCTATTTTGAATTACTTTACTAAGGCAAGACAACAGCTTCAAATGTGCCCCATAATAGAGTTGAAAAATTTTCAATTAGCTCAAAAGTAATCAATTCGTTGATTGATCCGTAAAAAATTAAATAAAATGTACGCATATCATAAAACTAAGGAAACATTAAATTGGCCAGATGCAAACATGGAACCATCCATCGATTATAGATTATTTTCCTAGATTTAATGAACCTACTACTGCTAATACTACCACATACATATACAACAATAGGGGTCATTTAACAACTAACCATATGCATATGTTTATACATTTGCAATTTTAAATTAGTCGATAGAGAAGATGTATCAGATTCCAGATTGTAATCAGATTTAATTGATTGCATTTCATCATCATCATCAATATCATCATCGTCGCCGTCATTATCATCATTATCAACATCATCCTGTTCAACACTATCATGATTATTTGAATAACAAGCAGATGATAATTGTGCACACTTCGAATCACTTAATGTTGTTAATTGATGATGATTTGACATAGAATTCGGCGGTAAGAAGAATAATAAAGATAAGGGTGGTTGTGTTGGCTTACAATCACTCGAAATTAATAAATTGTCTTGTTTCAATGAAGAATTTATCGGATTTATTGCAGTTGAACTGTAATTAGGACTCATCTTATCACCATTATTATCATTATCACTTCGACTTATATGTCGATAATGATTTATGGACGAAGTTAATGCATCACTACTACCACTCCTAATTCCACCAACTCCACTAAGATTATATTGACTATATGAAGGACAACCTGTGGAACTTTGACTCGGTGATAATCCACCTGTTGAACTAGATGAATTACCACGAATAGCCTGTAGTTGTTTAATTTCAATGGCACAATGAAATTTGACTGCATTCGGTTGACGACCAATTCGGCTACCTAGAATTTAATAAATAATAACGGTAACAAATCATATATATTCAATAAAAATAGTACCAGATGTAACGATAATTTATTTGTTTATACATTTATAATAATGTAATTGAAGTATGGAATAATTTCACAAATGTCAATCATTTAATTACAAGTATGCGGGCAAGACATACAGTAATACCAAGTAGTAAATATGAATAAAAAGGACTAATGTTATTCCAGATTTCATTCTATCTAATCACATGTTAGAATACCGTACTCTACCTACCTTGATTTGGGCAGATAGATAGTATCGTTAACTTTCATGCAACAAGATATGTTAATCGCCAGGTGAGATGATGTTTATTTGAAGTGAATAACAGGATCATTATTGGCTTCAATTAAGATATGCTTAATATGGTTGGACATCACTTGCCTTGTGAAATGTCTAGGACCTTAATACAGAAAGTAGTGCTGAGCCGAGAGATGATTATCCAATACAACTAACCACTGTGATTGATTTTGAAACACGTCACCTAAAGTATACAACTACTGGTCATGATTATAATACAAATTTACAACTAAGTAGTTTATACCTGACAACATACTCAGACTTACGGTCAATGACTTTATGGACTGGTGCTACACATATTAGTTTAATCATCCCTAACTTTATTTTTATTCCAGCCTGCATTATGAATTGAAGCAGACAGTACTTAGAGATATGGAAAATACCTCTCAGACACCACAGTCGATGAAAATTCATAGTTCCATTAATTGAATGGTTCTTTTTAACCTTGTAGCCTCAGCAATGTTCACTCAGTGTTTCCACAACAAGTCATGCTTCAAAGGTATCTATGATCAAATAATACAAATACATTATACCTTCAAAGGTTGCATTTTAAACACATAAAGTGAAGTGAACTGCTGTCCTGGATGCTCCATCTTTGATAAACAAACAGATATCCTTCACGCACTACAGGTAGTGAAAGTTGGTACAAACGAAACAAACTTTTAGAGTGTGCTGGTATTTTGTCGACAATCAAATCATCCGAACTTATGAGACTTGCAAGATAAGTAAAGTGGCTAACACATTCATCTACATTGTCTGTAGGTGTATAGTACAATCAAAAGAGAGGGATATACAAGTGTTTATCATTACTAAGTAAAACAGAGGAAAAATACATACAGAACACACAGAAAAAAACCGAAAGACAACAATTTCGGTAAGCATAATCGATAATCAAAACAACACACATCTGCACACACAAAATTCAAATATCATAACATACAATATAGGGAGTACATAATTTGTTTATGTTCCTCAGTATAGATGTTTAAGTACAAACAAAGACAATATACAAAATATAAATGATCTTAGTGGGTCAAGGTTGATCGTCGAATTTATGAAGAATTCAATGATGAATATAATACATGAGGTATAAGACTATAAGAGGCTAGACAAATATTTACAAACGCTTAAGTGGATGAGATTCAAGGTTGTTGTTTACTAATTTATCGGAGAAAACAAACAACAAAATTGAGATTTCAATCACAAAACATATTCATATCTACACAATCGAATAAATAAATCTTATAGTTGAAAAATAACTGTTTTAACAAGATGACATTGAGAAAAATGTGTACCTAGTTCATGTGATAAATCACGGAAATCGTAGGTTTTACAAACCACTGAAGCATATAGTTACTATTTGTCTTACGAAAAAAACAACATCAAACAAGCAAATTGATTAAATCTGTATTAATTTTGTTCAATAAAAACAGGGTGTGAACCGATGACGTGATGTTCAAACTTCTGGAACACTATTTTTTAAAAAGTGATTTTATTCCCAATATAAATTTATTTTGAATAGCTAATTACATTTGCTAACAGCATGTATCTAACCTCACCCTTTTCATAAAATGTTAGCAACATATCTAGAACTCAAGATATACAATCATCGAGTAACAGAAGTTCATAGAATTCATACACCATATATATTCCGGAATTAAAAAATTAATGTCACAGGAGCAAAACTGATGGTCGTAAACGTTCATGGATAAAAATGAATGATAGATAATCACTCCTTAAGATGCGAATCTTATAAAAAAATTTGAATATGTTTATAAAACAGCAATTACGTATTATCTGTGCTGACAATTCTTCAATGTGATCAAACCTATGGAATAAGAGGATTATTATCATTATTAACATGTAGATGACTTCCTATTTGATGATGTCCGGCGCTTTAACCGGATCCCAAACCAATGATGCACATGGTCTCCAGTATCCTACGGGAACAAATGGCGTATGAACCAATCGTTTGTCACCGGCTACCATGGGACTGCATGTCCTTACGATGCTCCACTGCCTTGTGGGTCAGACCTTTAGGTCGAAAGCTCGGGGATTGGCCTCCTAAGAAAACCACCTGCTTCGGTTTGGGCACCCGGGCAGTATCACAGCCCTCACACATATCGAATGAGATTTGTGTGGTGCATATGTATTTGGCGCCTCATTGTACCAATATCTATGTGTTAAAAATAAATAAATAAATAATATCTATAGTTGCAGATGGTTAGGGTGATAGTGCTCAAAATAAGTAGTGACAGTTTCAGTTCAATATACTGTAGGGTTATAAGTGCACACAGCTGAAGTGTTGTCTCCATATACAAAAAGATATGGAACAACTGTCTAGTAAGTAATTTACGTTCGCCAATAGATCGCTTGTTCGTTTAACTATGAGGCGTTAAAAGTTTTATTTTTCATTCTCTACAGCTTAAAAAAAACTGACAAGTGAATTAGTGAAATGAAGACTAAAAAGTATAAGAATCTAATTATATAGTATAAAAATCTCTCAAACTATATTTTTCCACTCATTAATATATTTCATAACTGAACATACAATGAACTATACTGAAAATAAAAGTGAATCAACTCAACAACAAGATCTCCTACCTTTTTTAGACATTCCTGCTGCTAAACATCGACGAAAACGACAACTTTTACAAGCATTTCTACTTCGAGGTGTTATAGTGCAAGCATTTTGACCACCTACACAAACTAATGAATTAGATGATCCTTCCGTACGACGAAAGAAACCCTAGAATAAACGAAGACAAAATATAAACTAGACATGAGAAAATATTTTGATAAATTGACAAATTGAAGAAAATGTTCAATAGTATTTACTTTTGATACAGGATAATTATAAATAGAGGTAACAGTGACATCATCCATACATTCCCATATATAGAAACAGTAATCTCTTCACAATGGATTCTAATGAATAAAACACCTAATATTGCAGAATCAACCCCTCTTTTTATCTTTTTTTTATCGATTAAGAAATAACTATTGGATAATATTTTTCGTAGGAATAGCAGAAACATTACGTGTGCCAGACTACCAACCATTGTTCTACCATACAATAGTCTTTCTGATTTTTTTAATTGTTGACTTATTAAGTAGTTATGGATGCTTAATAGGTAAACATGAACTTAGGGTTTGATGTTAATTGGCACTCATCAGGGAAGTATTCAAGGTTTCCTATAGACTTCCACCTAGAACTACTTACTTACGCCTGTTACTCCTCGTGAAGAAGCATAGGCTGCTCACCAGCATTCTCCATCCAACCCTGTCCTCGGCAATCCTTTTCAGCTCCTTCCAGTTGTTATTCATCCTTTTCATATCTGCTCCTATTTCCCGACGTAATGTGTTCTTTATTCTTCCTCTTTTACGCTTCCTTTCAAGATTCCAAGTTACGGCTTGCATCGTGATTCGGTTTGGTGATTTCTGTCCTATTCACTTCCAATGTCTTTTCCTAATTTCCTCTTCAGCTGGAAGCTGGTTTGTCTTCTCCCACAGTAGGCTATTGCTGATGATACTCCGTAAACGGATATTGAGTACATTCCGCAGACAACTGTTTATAAATACTTATGCCTTCTTGATGATGGTTATAGTAGTTCTCCACGTTTTAGCTCCGTACAGTAGGACTGTCTTGATGTTCGTACTGAAGATTCTGACTTTTGTGTTGGCTGACAATTGTTTTGAGTCCCACATGTTCCCCAGTTTTAGGAATACTATCCTTGATTCGCCAATTCTCGTCTTTACATATACGTCCCATCCTCCTTATTCACCGATGCTGCTGATCAGCCAATTACGTGAATGTTTGCACCTGTTCCGCAGTTTCTTCATCAAGTGTGATTGTGCTGGTGTTTTATGTGTTGTATTTAAGGATCTTGCCTTTTTCTTCGTGTATGTTGAGGCCTATTGATGCGGAGGTTGCTGCTACACTAGTTGTCTTCATCTGCATTTGTTCGTATGTATGAGATAGGAGGACTATGTCATCTGCGAAGTCCAAATCGTCTAACTGATTCTGAGCTGTCCATTACATTCCGTGCTTTTCCTTAGATATCGAGATCTTCATAATCCAGTCAATCATCAGAAGAAAAAGAAAGAGGGAGATTAGACAGCCTTTTCTGACTCCGATCCAAAGTATAGAGTTACTTAGACTAATTACCATATTATTTGATTCATAGGATTCAATCATAACCAAACAGGACTAAACAAATAGGAACCACGTCACGACTTAGTGATCAATCAATTGTTTAATAACTTTGTATGGTTTAAAGATGATTTTACATAAACCATCTTTTTAACTTTTATAAATTAAATAAATAAACATGTGATCAATTCGACATTCAGATCATTGATCAATCCCGATGAAATAAGTAAAATATTATTACTAGTTGAAATAAATGTGTAATGTAATCAATGTCTCTTTTCTCCTTCTCTCTCTCTCTCTCTACCTCTCTCGTTCTTTCTGCAATGAATTTATTTACATCTTCAGACAAAAATGTTGTGTTATAATATAAGTCAGTGAAATAAGAAAAATATATATAATAGACTAATGACTGTGTTGTTTATTCTCCACTTATTTGTATTTTGTGTGTGTGTATGTGTGCATGTGTATAAAAGTGTATAAGTTACTATGACAAACATTGCCCCAACTTTTGGAACATAATAATATTGTGTAAAAAAAATCAATTTATCAATTGAAATCAATTCCTTTTTTCTTTCTGACGATCAACAACAACAAAAAATACCGAAAACGGAAAATCTTGAAGAATTAAAAAAGAAGAAAATTTGACTGAAAATTAATCACAAATTACAATAAGTGTGTATTGGTGCCAAGATGATTAGAATGAAGTTCCATCTATGTATATATAGTACGATGGACGATGACAATGATGATGAGGTTGGCATGTGGATCAAGAAAGAAAAAAAAACAACTTCAATATTCCATTATTTCCATAATTATAGACAGTTGATCATTTGTGTGTGGGCTGTGATACTGCCCGGGTGCCCAAACCGAAGCAGGTGGTTTTCTTAGGAGGCCAATCCCCGAGCTTTCGACCTAAAGGTCTGACCCACAAGGCAGTGGAGCATCGTAAGGACATGCAGTCCCATGGTAGCCGGTGACAAACGATTGGTTCATACGCCATTTGTTCCTGCAGGATACTGGAGACCATGTGCATCATTGGTTTGGAATCAGGTTAAAGCGCCGGACATTCGCTTTTCGTCCTCTCATTTTCGTAAACAACACCCCCGCCACGAGAAGACAGTGAGTAGGACTTCAATATTCACATCACTAGATATGGTTTGATTTGGTAATTGGGTTGAATAAACAAAAAAAGTAATTTCCTGTAGAAAATATATCTAATTCTACCAACATAATAATAGCACAGATCAGAAACGATCAGCATATGCGATATGGGATAAAACAATAATTAATTGTACTAAACCAAAGTTCAGTGTTTCATATTTTGATGGGTATTATTATTAACAAATACATTAAGAAAAAAATGTCTTCATCCCATGAATGAAAAGTACTCATCTGATTATGATAACATATATATCAAGATTAGTCATTATTAGTTGAATAAGTCAAAAAAGCAAAAGTTCCCCTTAATATAACTTTGTTTACAGTTATACACAAAGCCTTGAATTATATTGGTAAGGTGGGATAATATACAATTGTTTGAATAATTCATTTATGTTAATAAATGAATATGATTATTTATGAAAAAAATTTGTTTTTACGATGGATTATAGATTGAATAGAACAATGAATGCTGTTTCCATACATCGTGTACACTACTCCTTCAGGTTCTTCTATGTTAGGCAAGCAGATTGGAAAACAGGTAAGATTAAAAGCAGAAACCTAAGATCTGATGGAGAAGTTGTACAGTTAACCGTAAAGGGGTATGATGGGGAAGTTTTAAAAAATCTCCATGGAACTGGTGCTACCTATGGAATTTGAGACCATGCCATCCAGTGTTACAGTTAAAACGTGATTATGGACACAATTGAATGGAGTCTAGCTTCCTTCAAGAATAGTCACTTGTTCACTTTCTAATACTGATTGAATTCTTTTAATTTGAGTACTAAGCTGAAAGCAACGAGCTATAAGATAAAAAATGACAAATAACTTCCTGAAAAACAAATAAGTGAACAAACAAAAGCTTACTTTACATCCTTCACATGTTAATGCACCAAAATGAAATCCAGACGATCTACCGCCACACACTCGACAAGGAATATTAGAAATATCGATTTCTGATTGAGTTTCTGGATCTGAATATCATTAAAATATATGAATGAATAATATCAAGTATTTTTTTAACAAAAGAAAAATAGTTAATAGAATTCATCCAAATCAAAATAAATTATTTTTTGTGAAATTATGTTGAATCAAATGTGCCTTTAGTAAAATAAAGTTTGTTTTAAGTATTTGTATTTGTACTACTTAGTGATTTTTCAACCATCTAGTTAATGAGATTACAAAACTATCTGTGCAATAATTTAGGTTCCGAAACATTTAACTCACACTAATAAGCATGATATATATATATACATATATATATATATATATATATATATATATATATATATATATATATATATATAGAAAGAACAAAAACGTGTTATAATTATCTGCTTATCTCACTAAGATTCCGTAACTGGAAGACTTCGTATAGAAACCTATTCATTGTTGACATATAGGAACTAGCGATACCACTTAAGTTAGTTATGACAGAATAGTAGATGAAATAAATATTATTACTACCATTAAAAATTGAAATTTTAGTAGCTTAAATGAGTTTATCACGGATTAATTCATTTCGCTTATAATAATAATAGTGTAGGTTACATACGAACACTGACTCTATCTCAGATGTAATTTAAAGAGGAAGACAAAGAGAAAATATAGCAGCAACTACTACGCTATTGAGATTAAAACTGTAAATGTATGATAAACACAAAAAAGAAATTAATATTCAAGTTATAACTGGTGAACAGGTCAGAATTACAAGCCTAGAACATAGATACATGTATATGTATTCAAATAAGTAAACAAATAAATAAATAGAAACATGTATACTACTAATATAATCAGACTAATTAATAATTGTGTTGATTTTCACGACAACAATATGTATCTACAATTCAGTATATGTATATATCTGACAGATACACGTTTAGTGAAAAATGATCTCGTCAAATATATATATATACATATAAAGTAAATAAGGGTATACTGAATTTGTCATCAATGTCTAAAGCATTTTTGTATTCAACATAGAATATCTGCAGTAGTATTGGTAGTGGTAAGTAGAAAATAAAATAGATGATGTAGCGGTCAAACTTACTAAACAAAAAATATTTACTCACGAAAAACGATACACAAAGACAAGGGGGTCAAGAGTGATTAAAAGTATAGTTTCGTTTTGAAAAGAGTAAAACATCAGTTACATATTACGCAGATGTAACTCAATAAAAGATGTTGTTGTACAGCGCGAAATTGGTTGTGCGATGAAGTAAATGTATTTGTTCTGTAACTTTTATTTATTTGTTTCGTCCTTCTAAACAGTTTTCTTCACATTAAGGTCTGTTTTTTAGAAAATATCGTCATGAACATACCTTCATGTTTTATAATCTATCTGGTTGTGTTAAAATACTCTGTGACAATAAATTGAGTTAGATACAGACTTGTCCCAGACGCTACATTATTTATAACTAACTATTGACAGGTTGGTCTTTATCTTATTGATAATAAACAATTAACCGTTAAATCAATGCAAATAGTTGAGTATACGTGTAACTGATTAATGTAAATAAACATCGTAGGATCAGATATTTTAAAGACTAAACTAATTAACTGTGATTCACTAAGTTAGGGTTAGAGAATATAGAAATCACAATGATAAGTAAACAGGTCAATTAAAATTAAATTAGAGTGGTAAGTACAAAAAGGGTTTAGAAGTAAGACAACCGGTTGACTTTTTCGATTGCATAGATCACAGTTTCTCGTTAAAGAAATTTCAATAAATTCGTCTTGAAGTCAGTTAGAACTGAGTATGAGATTATTATTATTGTTTGTTCAGTACGAAGAGCTTTTTATTACAGGATGGAAGCAGATAAAGAATTATTGAAAACCTTAGGAGTGACGAAATAATTAGAGGATCGAACACCTACTAATGTCAGGTCTTACGGTGGACATAATGTCATTCCAGTTACATTGCCAAGTATTTTTTTTCAACAAAAAACGTAGATGATCAACATTTAAACATAAAGACAATTATGGACAGAGATAAAGATGAGACAGCTATGGAGAGAAAACATGCACAGAATATGCGTTTTTTGGAAGGGGATTCGGCCATACACATAAATAAATGAGCAGCATTATTAGTAATCGTGTGCCAAAGAAATGTCGAGATAAGAATAGTGTTTCACTTTTTTTATTACAAACATAGATTTTAATTGCATTTTGGATTATCAATATTATTTCACTACAAGATGCAGTTCATACAGATAAGCTTTATGCTTGGACCGTGCGTGTGTGCACAGAACTTAGAAAAAAGTGAATAAAGCTGGATTTTATTATCAAAGCTATCAAACTACTATAAAATATAAACAATAAACAGTCAAACATTGTCTCGCAATTGCAATCCCTATTAGTTATTTTGTTCTTGAGAAAAAAATTCTATTTATTTTATTTTTATGAGCCTAAGTATACCGATCTAGAATATTTTTGAGTTGAACAAACGACCAACAAGTTGATGATAATTATGGGAAATAAAACAAAATTTCCACTTATTTATTAAATATCGGGACTGTTTTAGTAAATTTGTGGAAAAAAACTCTAACACTATTTATTGGTGTTGTATCAATGAAAAATATGTGTAAATATTATTAGAGATGTTAGACCTATTCAGGTGCGTTTCTGAAAGGTGTACAACCTTTCGTTGAACAAGTTACAAAAGGCCCAATCAGAGATATCGTGGTTGTTGGCAATATGCAGCGAAAAGAATGTAGATTATTTAGATATCAAGTGACTGGACTGTTAACTTCTAACAGGCGATCGCTCAATATTTATCGTCAAGATCGACCAAGAAGTAAGAAACGGAAACTTGTTGAAATACTTTGTGCAGAGAATTCTATATTGTACCAAGAATATAATACTGAATAAGGCTAATAATAATAATGTCATTACGAACCTCTGGACTTAGATTTTATACTAAATATCATTCTCGGACAGGACGTATCTACAGTTCCCATGTGATTCGAACCAGCATTATCTTGTATCACAAGTTAAAAACGTTATTGACTCATCCGATTCGTACAGGCTCTTAGAAAAAATACCTGGAGGACGTGTTGTTATATCTAGAGCTTAGATTGTTAATATACCGCGTATAAATTGAGCACTCGAACGCTAGAACCCTCCAAGTCGCAAATAAGAAGACAGAAGAAAGTGCTTGCTGGGCAAGAATAAACACGTGTTTGAAATGAAGTCAACCGAACATCCAAGGAGGGAAATGTGTAGATTTGCATGGGATATGAAAGACAGAACTACGTCTGATAATCTGGCACATTTAGTGACTGAGCGACCGGCAAAACTCATATCCTCCAATCAATCATGTTATTGAATAGCATTAGTTTGTTTTTATATATCTATGTTATTTTACTAGAGAAAAAGAAACTATTGTCCAGTTGTGTTATCTGATGACACCAAATTAGTCCGATAATTATGGCAGTGTATCCGTTTGGTGAGCAGCTATCAATAGATCAAAACATGCATCGTACATCATCGTCTATCGACTAAGAATTGTCTTTAGTCATTTTAACGATAAAACAATGTGGGTCCATAAGATACACAAAACTACACTCCGTGACAGCATGAATATGGTGTCGGAAGTAGAGGAGATACAATGAATTAGAAATGACGATAACAATGGTAATTATAACACATAGACTGTCTTCCCCAAATCCAATAATGACTAACTATTGTTTGGCTTGAATTTTTCCGTGGAGGAGAATTTCTATCTATATGTCTATCACAAAATCCTATTAATACCCACGCACACACACACTGTAATAAATCAATTAAATAAACAACTAATAAAGCTTATTGATGGAGCAGATAGGAATATTAATAAACACTACAATTAGTTTACAGAGAGAAAAATGTGATTATGCCGAATAAGATGGCTTGATGTGATGTAAGACAAGAATTCTCGGTAGACAACTCTAAAGTGTTAAATTGTCACACATATCGTAATCAAATATACGATGAGCTGAAAAAAAATCGAGTACAATATGTTTAAGTGTAAACAACAAACGATTAGGTGGTTATAGATAGGAATTCGGGAAAGGATCAAAATGTATGATTGATTATAACAGTTCTCAAGGGTTAGGGTTTGAATTTTCATGTTGTTGATATTCAAAACTGAAATTGGACATTATCATATGTACATCTCCTGGCAAGAATGCCACAATACTGGCTCCTCATCACAGGAGGAACTCTATACTAAGACGAAACAGCTGTCTAAAGCTCCCCATATTTTAATATGTCTGATAATAATCAACTTCATGTACTGTGTAGTTTTTTGTATAGAAACAGAACTCATTGTGTTCATCGATTCCTGCGTTCATTTCATATCAATGTAATAATCCAATAAGTCGATAGATGATCAAAATTGTTCATAGCATAAGTATTTATCTTCGGTACCCAACTTTGGCTAAACAATTTATTAGAAATCAAGGAGAAATAGACGATTATCTCGCTTTAGTGCAGGAATCATTGCGAGTGTACAACCCATATCTATGCAGACTTATGCATCAAGGCGAGAGTATTATCTTCAGACCATCTAGTTGGAATCTAACAATTCACACACATACCTTATAAATTAAAAATACCCAGGTGTCTAATGAATTTCAGTAAAACAAATTAGATCGAATGAAAGACATAGGTCCGTATAAGTAGAGTAATCCTATACAGAATAATGATTACCACCATTGTATAGTGACTGGTAACAGTAACACAGCTGAAAGAAGTTGAGAGTAACTGAATGAGTCAGTTTGTATGTGTATGTAAGTATCTGCTCAGAAAGAACAAAATTAGTTACGAAAACTACATGAACAACAATCGATAGATATAAAACGTGTATGCGTCACATTTACGTGTATCTATATACAAACTAAACGTACACAAACAAACCGTAACTACCAACCTAAGATATTCAAAAATCAATGTCGAATTTGGCATTCACACTGACTGAAACAGTTATTGATTTGAAAACAATAACAATCATAATGAGTACTATTAATATGCACACAACACTAACCCATCAATCAAGGTAAAATGAACCGGACAATAATGATAATAAAGAAGACGCTGAGTGATGTTGGTGACACTTAATGTAGTGTGTGAGAGAGACAAAATGAAACATCAATTGATTTGAATCATTTATAAATTTGAATACGTAAATGTTGAGCAGTTTTATAAATAAACTTTTCAAGATTACAGCCTCTACCACACCCCAAAGCAGACAAAAAATACAGAAAAAAATTTTTAAATAGAAAAATACATATAAGAACGAATTTCCTATGGGTATTATAAAATAAAACTCCGCTTGTAGCTCTTCTAGAATTACTGCCGGTCTTAAGCTCGGATAAAAGAGGAGGGTTGGGCATGGGGCTAGCGTCTCCATCCCGTAAAAAACTAACTCGCTAAAAAAACGCTAACCAGAAAAAATAATTCAAACCATTTTAATTCCGCCCTGGGAGTTAGAAGGTCTTCATTTAGAAGAACTATGACACCTCATGGTGAAAGCTGAGTTCCTTCAAAAGCCACGAGGCCGATGCCCCTTCCAACAACCAGAGAAACAATTTTTATAGGTACATGGAACGTCCGGACAATGTGGGAGACCGGGAAGACCAGTCAAATAGCAACGGAAATGAGGAGATACAACTTGGTAGTACTGGGAATCAGCGAAACCCATTGGACCCAAGCTGGACAACAAGGGCTAAATACGGGAGAGATACTGCTATACTCCGGTCACGAATAGGAAAATGTTCCACACACTCAGGGAGTTGCTCTAATGCTGTCAAAAGCAACACGAAATGCGCTTGTAGGATGGGAATCTTACGGATCCAGAATCATCAAAGCATTATTCAAAACAAAGAAGGGGGCATCACAATGAGTAACCAATATCATGTTGTCTACGGTATCCAGTGCTGATCGAATTCCGACATTATTCGAAATGCAATTAGGAGCGGCAAAATTAGATTTAAACTAACTGTGATGATTTGATGATAAGTTTCGCCATGAACAGATAACAACTATGAAGAAAAATTTCCTGAAAACAACTATCTAATGATGTGTACTTCTAACCTCTAAAGAGATTTTTACACAACTGCTAGGTTTGACATTTGCTCAACCTGATTAACTGTATAAACATGTTGATGATATCGTTCAAATTAAACGTCACAAATCCGAGAACCATTCGACTTTCAGCTACGCACTTAAAAAGATTTATTTTTTAAATCTTGTCACTGATAAGTGAATATTTAAGGGAGTTGATTAATTTGAAAATAAATAAACCTCATTATATATTTGCTTTGTTTTTATAATGAACATACCAGTTAGCATTTTTACAAAATATGGTTGAGTCTTACTAATAATTAATGCAAATCATTGTAGTTCGATTTCAGTCATATTGTGTGTACTATTATCTAGTCGCCTAAACCGAAGCGGCTACGATGAAACTTGGACCTGATACCTAGTGGCTGATTCGTTGGACAGGACTGTTCTCTGGGATTGTCTATTGAAGAAGGGTGTACCTGAGAAGTTTATTAACATGTTAAAGGCCCTATATGCAAACACCTCAGATAGAGTGAGGGTTTACAACCATCTTTCTCCATTGCTCTATTCAAGCAGTGGGGTTAGACAGGGTTGCCCAATCTCACAATTCCTCTTCAACTTTGCCATTGATAACATTCTGGAAACAACCCTGATGGATGTAAGTAATGGCGGTGTGGATCTGTTGCCTGGAGAAAGACTTCTCGACATTGAGTATGAGGATGATATTGTCTCACAGTGTGATAATGTCCAAACCATGCAATCCGCACTTAATCAGTTGGCAATCAATGTACGTAGGTACGGTATGTGCTTTGCACATTTGAAGTGCAAAATACTTCTACAAGACTGGCATGATCCTAATCCTGTACTCACCCTGGATGGTCAGCAGATAGAAGTAGTCGAGAAATTCGTGCATCTGGGTAGCTGCATAAGTGCTGGTGGGGGTGTGAGTGATGAGATCAATGCATGTATAGTGAAAGCCAGAGTGGATTATACCAATTTGGGCCATCTTTGGCACCTTCGTGATGTCAGTCTGGCTGTAAAACTTCGGATCTACAACGCGTTGGTGAGAGCAGTTCTGCTCTATGCTTATGAAACCTGGCCTCCGAGTTGAAGATGTTAGACGACTCTCTGTGTTTGATCATCGTTGTCTCCGAAGGATGGCTCACATCCAGTGGCAACACCATGTTAGTAGTGCAGAGGTTCGGTATCGTGTGTTCCGGCGCAGAGACGATAATCCAGTTGGTGTTACCATCTTGAAACATCGACTTCGGTGGCTTGCACATGTTCTACGAATGTCGGCCCAGAGAATTCCACGTCGTGCATTATTTGCCGACTCTGGGACTGGTTGGAAAAAGCGGAGAGGTTGTCAGTGTATGAAAGAAAGCTGCAAAGGGCTGGCTTCTGTTGGTCCTTCACGACTCCCTGGCTGGGGTCCGAGAGATGGTGCAACACAGTGGCTAGAGAAGTTATCAGATATGGCTCAAACTAGAAGCCATTGGCGATCCTGCCGTGACCTTCTTTTACTTTCTTCATAAAAAGTGGTTGTATCTTCCTTAACTGAAAGATTTCTTCTGGTTGTACCTTTCCGTTCCCCCCATTATTATTATTGTTATTATTATTACTACACTACCTTACACTAATCTGGTCGTTATTGTTCTTCTCCTTTTTTCTTTTACGTTCCTTACCTTCTTTTTTCTCTTCCCATTCTCATTGCTTTGTGTGGCGCATATATATTTGGTGCCCTCTTGTACCAATATTTATGTTTTCAAAAAAATAAATAAATAGCGGCTGATTGTTGAACGCCTTAGTCAGTAAGCCAGAGCTTTAATAAAACGCTGGGTAATTAACATTTTATAGTGACGGTTAGCAAGACTATTATTAGTGAATCGTAATAAATGTAGGACCTACCATAAATGTGCATCAGTCCAATTTGCTACATTAGATTAGCACAGCAAAACGATACTAATATGAGAATGAGTACAAGAATTGAAATAATACAGAAATAAACATGGAGAACATGGGGTACGAATAAAAAGAAATTACTTAAATGAAAACATAAAATATTATTTAAACTCAGTGTCTAACAAATGAGGACGTCTATGGCACAGTGACTAGTTAAGAACCACATTATATGATGTGTTATCATCACAGACACATTCATTGAATCAACTGAGTTAGTAAAATAAACTATAAATTACAATGATTTAGTCAGCTTCACTATTTACTTCGTCAAGTTGATGTGATGAGGTGACTTAGGCTAACATACACATCCTTGATGCCAGGCTCTAATTTGATTAAGACAGACTGATTCAGTCAACCTTTATAACTAAGTAGAGTTTGAAGAAAAACATCCGGAATGTGCTTGAACAAAGGCAGTTATGATTGACACAATTTAAAGAATGACATTAATTTATAAAATTTCTATTTATTTCTCTCTCTACATAGAGAACCCACCTTTCATTTTCATCCCAACAAGTAAACATTTACGGTAACGACAAATTTGACATTTCCCACGACTACCTTTAGCCACTATACAGTTGCCACCAGTTGGACAGACGTTTGTCGGTTTTGTATCAGCCATCGAATGACGCATGAAAAATTTCTACGGAATTAGAGAAAAAGGTAAAGCAAAGAAAAGATTACCGAATTGCCATAATTAATTGATAAGTTAAGCAAATAATGATAACGACTTTCTACAGAAAATGAATTACCACAAGAAAAGTTTACTGATGATGAAGTACATGTCTATTTGAAACTGAGAGATTGTTTTTAGTTTTAACCACCAACCAACCAATGACCAAGTGTCATAATTTTGAAACATTTCAATTTTGGTAACAGAATATTCATATTTATAACCTGATGGACGAGATAAAATTTTTACTTTGGTGGAAAATATCTACCTAACCACTGGCATACTCATTTTAGACTTAAGCATTAAGTTAGGGAAAGTAATGTTAATCAAAAATTAGACTGATAATGAAGTGGTGTAAAGCGAAAAGCCTCCATAGAATCAAAGTGGTTATATAGTACAAGGTAAGCTGAATGAAGAATGAGAATAAAAGAACTGGAAGTCACACTTTTACAAGAGATAAGTACGTTGGTGAAATTAAATATGGTGAAAATGTTTTTAAATATGGTTGATGATATGCGCAGTTTCTAAATTCGGTCATGTTTCAATTGATATAGATCAAGTGGAAGGTGACTGATTAACCTGAATAATTCTGTGATGCAACCTTGGAGAAATAATAATAAAAAAATAGGAAGGTAAGTTGACAACAAGAGAGCATTGTTAAATGAAGAGAGATTAAGAAAAAATTAAGCAGAAAGTAGTGATAAGAAATGTAAAAAAACTAAAAATAGAAAAGTATGGTTGGATAAAATTATACAGACATTAAAATCCTATTCACTAGTATAACTCAAAGTAAATTAAAATTAATGATTTATCAGCTTAAAATCAAACAGAAAAGAACATTAATGAAGTTTAGTGTACTTTTACAATAGATAAAAAAAACAGCTACCACTGTAGATATCCAGCATACGAGTGAAGATTTTTTATTAACTCAATTATTAGGTACAGATTAGCGTACTTCGCTTAGAATCATAAGCATGAGGTCTAGTAATACTATTATTCAATTGCTTAGACTGATTAAACTACGCACATACAGGATCCGAGTAGCGTCATTCATTTGACCTCACCATGCCAAAATAAAGAACCGACTCAATTTACGCTTCGTGTATCTGGAAGCCCTGATTCTGCTTCCCGTGGCCTCGCCGGCGTGAGTATAGCATTGAGTCCTAGGGCAGAACTAGCTCTCTTAGAGTGGATCCCAGTAAACAGTCGTTTGTGCGCTGTCCGACTAAACGGAACTGTAAGGATCCGAAAAGATAGGGACACTCGTCGTTGCCTTTTCGTCGTTTCTGCCTATTCTCCCGCTGATGCAGCATGGAATGATATCCGAAAAGCTGTGGAAACAGCAGTGATATCTGCTAGTAAGGTAAACCAGAAGGTTAGGGAGCAACACTGGATCTCAGCAGCATCTATCGCACTGATAGATGCTCGGAAACTCATTCCACCTGGCTCTGAACATAATGCAGAGCGGAGTCAGCTAAAGCACAAGCTGAAAAGAAGCCCACGCAATGATCGCGAACAGTGGTGGGTAGCGAAAGCAAGAGAGATGGAAAAGGCAGCGGCAATAGATAATAGCAGACAATTGTTCAGACTTGTTAAGGAAACCGGAATTAGGAACCCGACCGTTAGTGAAACAATCTCAGAGAAAGATGGACATATTATTCATTCTCAATCTAGGAGATTGGATCGATGGGCAGAACACTTTAGGGATCAGTTCAACTGGCCTTCAGCCACACTTCGGTTTCCCACGATCTCTAGTCAACCTGAATGGCAAGTTAATGTAGGTCCTCCGTCCCTTTACGAAGTTGAAAAAGCCATAGGAAATCTGAAACGAGGGAGAGCAGCAGGCCCTGACAGGTTTACTCCTGAGATTTTTAAGGATGGTGGTCCAGTATTAGCAGTGAGATTAACCGAGGTCTTAGGTAGAATTTGGGAACTGGACGTAATCCCATCTGACTGGTCTCAATCACTGATTGTGCAAGTCTATAAGAAAGGACAAACGTCCTCTTGTGACAATCACAGAGGAATCAGTTTGACTAATATAGTGTCTAAAATATTAGCCTCAATAATACTTCGACGCCTAATCAAAGCTCGTGAAGAGCAGATTAGAGAAAACCAGGCTGGTTTTCGACCTGGACATGGTTGTATAGATCAGATATTCACACTACGTCAGGTTCTAGAACACAGACACACATTCAGACGCCCCACAATGGTAGTGTTTCTCGACCTTAAGGCGGCATTCGACTCTGTTGATCGTGAGGTTCTATGGCAGTGTTTGTCACTGAAAGGAGTACCAAAGAAGTACATTAATCTTATAAAGGCTCTCTACTCGAACACAACTGGTCGAGTGAGAGCTTATGGCGAACTGTCATCAGAATTGATTACCTCAAGTGGTGTTCGTCAGGACTGCCCACTCTCTTCATTCTTGTTTAACTTTGTGGTCGACGTACTTTTAGAGATGACACTTTCCTCGTCTAGATTTCCAGGGGTCGAACTTCTACCGAGAGGTTCACTTGTTGACTTAGAATATGCTGATGACATAGTTTTATTTGGTGAAGACGCTGACAAAATGCAGAGTCTTCTGACCACTCTAAGCAACAATGCAAGCATGTTCGGGATGCGATTCTCTCCCTCGAAATGCAAAATGTTGCTTCAGGATTGGATTGAATCGACACACGAATTAATGATAGGGAGTGAAGTAGTAGAGCGTGTCGACCGTTTCACCTATCTTGGAAGTCTCATGAGCCCTTGTGGTCTAGTGTGCGACGAAATCTCAGCACGGACACAGAAGGCTCGACTAGCTTCTGCCAAATTGCGTTATTTATGGCGTAGGCGAGATATCCATCTACCAACCGAAGGATAGGTTTACTGCTCAGCAGTTCGTTCTGTCCTACTTTATAGCAGTGAAACATGGCCGGTAAGAGTAGAGGATATTCGTAGGTTACTAGTATTCGATCATAGGTGTCTTCGAAAAATTGCTCGTATATTCTGGGACCATCGAGTAAGTAACGCATTTGTTAGGAAACGGGTACTAGGTAAGGATGGCAAATCAATTGATGAAGTAGTGAAACTTCATCAGTTGAGATGGCTGGGACATGTGTTACGTATGCCCAACCACCGACTACCTCGACGTGCTATGTTCAGTGGTATAGGAGTAGGTTGGAAGAAAGCTAGAGGCGGCCAAACCAAAACATGGCACAAGTCCATGTAGTCACTGACAAGTGGACTGAGTCATGTTGGTAGGTATAGACTACCTGATTGGGGACCACGAGATGATAGCAACCGATGGTTAGAGACCCTGAATGACATGGCTGAAAATCGTTTGCAATGGCACAGGTGCATCCACTCTTTGTGTTCTCCCAAATTCTAATCTTCTGAATTCTTCATGTCCTTTTTTTCCTCTTCCCAAATTTATTTCACTGGATTATACTCTTTAAATAACATCTCCAAACCCTAATCTTCCCGATTACTGCTTATACTCTTGCTACCTCTACCACTATGGGATTTGAATCGACTACTGCATCTCTGTGCTAAGGTGGTGTGGCAACTCGAACTGATGTACGTACGTACGAAGTTCTACGTTGTTACTGACTGACTGAAACTACGCGTTTCACTTATTGAACCCAATTCTACTTTTGCTACTACCTACTCCGATGATACAATACAATTCCCTACTGTAGATTAGTAACCGAGTGCATAGCCTGGTGGATTTGGCCTAGAATTACATATTTTATGCATAAAAATGTCAGTTTTACTACTTGTTAGAACCTATTATAACCCAATGGTTGTCTAAGGACAATTCGTGACGTGAGTTGTGGAACTTAACAACCATCACAAATCCCTCATACGAAGAACAATCACGTAGTTACTGGTAACTAATTTCGAGAGGTGATTCCCGGAGTTTCAGTGAGGACTGATGACCAGTGTAGTTTGGCCATATCGAGTGTGACTCAGTTACTTACGAATGGGTAATAGATGTAAGTCATTGGATCCTAATTCGGTGGTCTAAAAGTTAACCACTCATCGCAATATGAATGCCTCGAGTCAGATCCCCGGTGGGATTGTGGATGTGCACTCCCTGTGGAGGCCCGTATCAGAACGAAACAGCTATACAATGCTCCCAGGTGCCCAACAGTTATCGAACTAAGGTTAGTTTATGATGTAAACTATAAAAGTTAAGCATAAAACCGCCGTTTTATGCCAATCTGAAAGGCTGTCATTATTACACTTAATTGCTTAAATTAAGACAAATAAGTAGTAGGATGAAATTGAGGCAGTGATTAATTATTTGATTGTGTCCGTAGAAATAAAATCATAAAAAATATGAGTTTTTCGCAGAATGATCACTAGAAAAACATGACTCGACATTAATTATTTTGACTAATAGTGAAGATAAGCTAAACTTGAACAGAAAACAAGAGTTTTCAAAGGTAGTGAGATGTAACATGAGTTTTCTGGCGTATGTATTTTACTTTGCCATTTTATTTACCTATAAGCACAAAATAAATAGATTATTTCAGACCAATTAGCGATATAGATAAATTTGTAGAGATAATAACAGCAATTATTGAATAAGTTGTAATTAGTAAACGAGATAAAATCTTTCACACTTGGTGGCGGGAGGGTATAAGTACTTTTAATGAAAAAATGATACGAAAAAAAAGGCGCACAAAAACGAAGTGAATTCGGATTAATCCGTAAAGAGACTAAACGGTACAGATTTCTAGGACGGTTATGAAATATTTAAATTAATGATCATATTTAAACAACAATTTAATTATGGATGAATAGTCAGAAAGAATACAAAAACCAAAAGAGACAAGCTAAGATACAAGTATTACAGAGCCCAAACGAATATAAGCTTCCAAAACTAGATAGTTTTACAAGAACAGCAGAAACTATTGTACGTACTTAAGAATGAATAGAGACCGTGGTATACATTTGGATTTTCAAGGATAACAGCAGTAAACGAA